AGCCAACATTTTATTCTTCATTTTGCCACACAAGAAAGAAAGAACAATGCACTAGTTAGGCTGAACAATTAAAAACGATTTACAGCGGCTGCTAAGCTGAATGCGCTGCCTGCAGTGTCTTCAGTCTGGGGTCACCAGTATTAAAGTGGTCCAGCTCTACAGCTCTTTGTGGATGTGGGACATGGGCACGGGTGGCACCACACCTCCAAAAGTGGTGGGGCAATACATACGGTTTAGCATCTGGCCGAGTGACGAAATGCAATTCAGCTAAAACTGCCTTTAATGTCATGCTAAGAACATGTCTTTATAATCCTATTCAGAGGTGGGTAGGAGCTAGTTGCATTCAACCAAGGTCATGTACTTAAGTAAAATACTGATGGATTTTTACTCTCATTAGTATTTTTCAAATCATATTACTTTTATTTCAACTAAAGTGAGTAAAGGAATCCCAAAAAGAGAAGAACAGAGCTGCATAATCTTTAGCTCTTATGCTGATAAATGCTAGATGTAGTAAGTTCCACTACTCAGTACTTAAGTAGATTTTCTTAAGTACTGTACTTAAGTAGTTGGGTAAGGTACTTTTACTTGTGTATTTATTTTATGCAAGTATCAATACTTTTACAGCTTCAGTAGCTGCAGCCTCGGATAGCAGTATTTGTTAGCTAACATCTCTGAAGAATATAAGGCTGTTTTCATGCCCAGTTTATTCTGTAAAGACCCACCACAGTTTTGTTTTTTTTGTGATGTTGTGTCTTTTTCATTTGGTCCGGATGCTGGACTGTTAGGGCTAAAGTGGACTAAGTTACACTCATGGGTGTTTGTTTATTGATCAGAGGTTTTGTAGGAATTTAAGCACTCGGTTACTCACATTCATCACCATGAAAACAGAGAAACAGAAAATAGAGACACTTATGTGTGTGCCAGTTTCGATGATCGGGTCACTGATGCTTGGCTAAAAAGACGCTCCACAGTCCATGTCCATCTCTTTATTTACAGCAGCTCGCCCGGGACATTGGTTGGACAGAATGCAACCACAATGATGAGAGTATTGCGTCAGTGGGTAGAGGAGGGTCGGACTCAACGAAGTGAGGGGTCTGGACTACATGATGCACAAACAAATGGGAAGACAGACAGCTGGTGTTCATAGCTGTGATGGACCAAACAGCCACATCACAGACCTTAGGAAACAGTTGGGATGCGTTGCATGTCAACAGATAACCATCCACTCTGTTTAAAGCAGTGGAACCTCTACACTCACAGCTCATTGCTTTGGCTATCACTGACCCTCAAACAGTCCTATAGTCCTATAGTTCCTGGATAATCACTGTGTGCCACCTCGTCCCCGGCCTGCGCTTTCACTGATTTGCCCCCCATTGAGCATATCTGGGACACGATTTCATGACTGGTGCGCAAGATTACCAGTGTCTACCAAGCATAAACTTTAGGTACATGTAGAGGCTGCATAGCATTAAATTCCACAAACATGTATCCAGTGTCTCTTTCGCTCCATGCCAGATCATTATTTCTGCCACCTGATACTGATTATTGTGGGTCTAAAGGTGAATCAAACACAGCACAGACAGCAACAATCAAATGAATCCTTATCATGAATCATCAGCAGCATAGACAATGAATACATAAAAATCCATCATACATAAAAAGCCATCATGTGTTCATGATTTATTGCTATTTCTGTTATATTACAATCACGTCCTTAAAATTAACAGTGAATATGGAAGAAAAAAATGACAAAATCAAACTTTCATAGAGCAAAAATCAAAGTAAAAAGGCCTGATTTTTCAGGTCATTAAAAGCTGTTTAAATATATATATCTTTTTTCTGCCTCACTAAAGGACAATGTGGACATGGACAACATTACCACTGCAAGGCTCTCAGGGACCGGATGACTCTGCTTGAAAAAACATTATAGACCAGCATGCTGGTATGCTGGTCAACTAGCATGACCATTCTGAGTGACCAGTATAGGCAATGTATATATTTTTGTATGTTACTTGTCTGGCTCACCTCAGTAGTGGAAAAAAAGAGTGGTGAAGAAAAAGTGTGCAGGTGATGCTCGAAAGGTTTTTTGCTGTTTTTGGTATGTTATTAAAAAAAGGTCTTGGCCTTCTGGGTTTCTGTAGCTCACAGACATCCTCTAACATGACTTTGCCAGCTTTGCAGCACAACTCAAAAAATGCCCATGCAAATTCCACATAGGTTTGGGTGACTGTTTTTACATGGGCCGAAAAGATGGCACTAATGTATACGTGCAGAAAACACCTCCTTGGTTTTTCCAACCAACTTATTTTGAAGCAAAACAGGCAACACAAATATTGAAATGACAGCGTTAGAACCAACAGAAAGCCAATGTTATATGACATCATTACATGAATATTTGTAGTTGCTTTATACATAGAGTTATGAAATAGAGTTATGACTTATACATGGTGCAATATGACGCAAAAATCATAATTACATAAATAACCAAAATGCATGTATTACACCATCACTCAGCACGTTTCTCACAGACAAACCAATGTTTAACAGAGCAGGGCATATCATTCCACCTCTTATTGTCTAATTGAAACTCTGCACAGTCTTCATCACCCTTATTATTTGGTTCTCCATCATCCCAGTACCTGAAACCCAAACACAATCAGGTGCTGGTTAGCAGATTAGCCTTGAAATTTGAGAAATAAGAATTAAAGACAACTAAAGAACTTTGCTGATTCATGCATTTTAAGTCCTATTAAGTCCAAATACTTAGGTTCTCTTCACATTTATGTATTTGCTTTTATCCAGAATAACTTTACAATTTACAAAAGTGTACACCCTTGTAGTGTTAGGAGTCTTGGTATTGTCAGTCTGGTACTTTTTACTGTATAATATGGCCAAGAATTGCCTCCCTTGTCAGGAAGAGGCTGTTTGATTGACATTCAAAATGACCAATCACAGCCTGATTGCTACGCCTTCTGCCGAGGACGCCTCCTCTGCTTGTTCCTGTTCTGCTGCGGGCTCACTTGAGTCCATGGACTGTAATGAAAACTCCCATGATTCAATGGGAGATTACATGACTTCTCTGTCATCACTATCAGCCAATGGATTTCCCTTTCAGCGCTCCACTTCACCAGAGTTTTTACTTTGCACACCTGTTTTCTATTACATGTAATCAGTTCGTCAGTATATAAGCCAGAGCTTTAGTTTAGCAGATTGTGAAGTATCGTCAGCTCCTTTTGTTGCATACTGAGTGGTCTTTTGTCTGAAAAGCCTTTTCTGTGTATGACATGTTTTTTTACTTGTCCTTTCATGTTTTTGCCTTTTTTGACTGTATTGCTGTGTACTGTTTCCTCATTTGGTTTTCGATCCTGGACTGGTTTCTTGTTTTACTCTCGATGTCCCTCCTGTTTCGGTTGTCCTGCTCTCTGTACTGACCCAAGCCTGTTGCAACTACACTCTTTGTAACAATCCCAAACAGTTAAGTAAACTTAAACCTTGTCTTTTTATCTGCACTGGCTTTGTAACACTGATGCTTCGGAGAAGTCTGTAAACTTTGTTTCTTATCCAAATGATGAAAAAACACAACACAGAAATGCGTATACACAGATATGCAGACAGCCAATCAGAGCACAACTGACAAAATCCTGACAGTTGTGTGCAAAACATATATGAGACTGAGATTATGTTGGTGATAATGCTACAACAGCCACTACAAAACTAAACTGACCGTTTGTGCTGTGCCTGAGTGCAAATTTATCAAAAATTATAAGAGATTGAAAGCAAAGCCACCACTAATAATCAAGGGACACTGAACTGTGCAAACTGTGGTTCCTGGCAATTCAAAATCCAAAATATCCAGAGGATCCACAGAAAAAGGTTGCATTTCTGTATGTGTCATATAACGTAGAAAGCTGACCAGATATTCTTCTTCAGGAATTCTATGGGGCAGCTAATTTGAAATTCTAACTACAGCTAATACAGAATGTAGACCAGAGACCAGAACCATGTTTCTTCTGCACTATAAACTATTTGTAAATACCGAAACTGTTGTTTGTGCTTTTGCATATTTCTGTTTACACTGTCACGTTATATGTAGGCTCAACCTCAGATGCTCCACCTACACATAGACTGAGAGTCTGGTGTCTATTGTAATCTAAGTTGTGTTCATAGGGAGTCTCCTCTGTTGACAGTTGTCACAGTGTGTAGAGTTACATCACACAAACAATCAGTATATTTCTGTATATTGTTAGTCAGTGTAGTGTCTCAGTGCATTGTGGGTGTCTTTTTGCCAGTGCTCAAAAATTCTGAAAATTGGCCACCTGGTGTATCAGCCAACCGGTACTACACACAACAATAAATTACACATTGAGTGATGAGCCAAAACATTATCATCACTCACAGATGAAGTGAATAATGATTATCTTACACATCAAGGTCTGCTACATTACAGATGGTAAATGAACAGTCGTTTCGCTCATTGCGTGATGATCTCAGCGACGCTGACAAGGGCCAAACACAGAGCATTTTACTTTAAATCAATTAGAATGATTTTGTTTGAATGCATTGTACACATTTATGTAGAAAGTTTGAAAAATCATGGAATTCTCCCTTTTACAGTTAATGTACATTAATGTGATATGATTTACTCCAAAGTAATTATGGACCGATATTATTGTGTTATCTGTTCATCATGAACTGTTCATACAATGAAAACAGTTGCTGGAGTTAAAAAAAACAGAGAGAAAGAAAGAATACGTAGTAAAATAAAAACATTTTTGTCTCAGATGTGACAAAAGCATATTTGGATTTTAAATATAAAGGAGCAGATAATAGGGACAAAAAAATACTGACCTATAGGCTCAATGAAACAATGAAAATAAGTTAATGTTAATGGCCTGTCAACCTCCTCATCCCTTTCTTGTCTTTCAGCTCTTGATGAAGCTAAAGTCAGCTTCTTGCAGTAATTAGCATAATGTCTCTGTCGCACTATTTAAGGTGGAATGGGATAATTCGAACAAGAAGGTGGTGAAAGTCCTTATCAGAAAATGCTGCCATTATTAAAATAATAATTAGGATATCCTGATAGCCTAAATCAGATTATCAGAGGTAAGCAGTAATATTAAGATGAGACTGTACTGAATTAGCCTGAGTGTTAGTAACGTTAAGCTTGTAGAGCTGGGCAAAGTAAGCTATGAACAGAACGGAAAGATGTATCATATTTCAGTGAGCATCAGGACAGATAACAGCATTGTAACCTACATGACTTAAAAGGGAAAACCTGCTTCTTTTGTTCTGACCTCTTTTTATCTGCCCTCATTCTGTACATGGAAATACACACCACATTGGCAAAGTGTGCTAGTTTGTGCTTTTTTAAGGAGGCTGCCAGTCTAAAGATGTCAGTTCAGTGCACAGTAGCATTAGCTTATATGTAGTAATATTCAGATTTGAACTTTTTAGGATCCTCATTGGATCCAGTGATTCTTCCAGAGAAGAATGTTCACAGAACAAAATAAATCAGCTTTGGAACATTTTTCATTACCACAGGATGGTCATCAAAAATGTTCCCAGAGTTCCTCATGTAAGCATGAGAGCCTGGCGCCAACTACAGGATGACGACACAACTTCAGAGGTCAATGTTCTGGGGATTCTATACTGACACCCAGTGGCGTGGGTGATACAAAGCTTCTATACTGCTCCCCTATGTTGTGGAGAGGCAGTCGCTCTCTCCTCATTTGACAGCAGAACGACAGTCTGTGTTATCAATGTCACCCAAAAGATGTGGGAGTTAAGTTAATGGGAACTACAAAAAAATGCTTTTTTCAATTCTGTGTAGTCAATAACTGACACAGCTGTCATAATCAATTTAACCAATATCTGTTCATATAACACACAACAGCTACCAAACGCATCGAGCAGCGCTATGTAATGTTTATTTGATATCAAGTTTCAAACGTAAATCGTTTTCTACCTTTGCTATCACTCACAGTTGAAACTGACCTGACTGAGAAAGTGACAGCAGGTCAGCTTATTATTTACTCTTCCTGATTTGGACCAAACACTTTCACATCAATACTAAATGCTGCCGAGTGGAAACTAGAGTCATATGGACAACTTCTATTTGTAGATCCATAAAAGCTTTTGCTCGGGTATACAGCAGGAATTCTATTAGCGTGTATTCTAGCACCAAAATACTGCTATACTTTGATGCATATTTATACTTTTTAAAGATTAAAGCATGTAACTTTTTGGGCATATCGACACTGCAGGTAAACATTCTACTTCACTCTAAAATCCTCTGTTCTGTACCCTCATTCTGGTCTTTTACCGACTCTTAGTTTTCTTGTTTTGTTTCTTTTTCCATTTTTCACATGGTGTAACTTTACTTGCTGCCGAGTCCCCATCATTTCTGTTTGTAAAGAGTAGCGATGATCATCAATGGTCAATTTTTCCATTCAAAATTTAGAAACACACAGCTCACCTGTCACCAGTTACTGCACTGAATAAACTTTTGGTCTTTTTGCATGATCTAAACATTGCATTGCCCATGTGAGGACCCACGGCTCATTATGATAAAATGGTTTTATATAAGCCTTTAAAGTAATTATTCATCTCACGTGAGTCTGTCATGAAAAAAACTTACCAAAGACGATGACAATGATATTTTTTGCTTGTGAACATCACTTATTGCTCCTTTAAGACTGCTTGAAGCCAAAAAAGGCCTGTCCAATAGGAGAAGAGCTAAGGAACATTCCTATTGGTCAGTCCTCAACTTTTGGTTAAAGCTATACTGCTTTGAGAAAAATCCCCTGGACGCTTGCCCAGAGGCTCATAATGATGGTAACAAGGAACAGTGTTTGCATGTAGTGAGCACAGAAAATTCTAATTTAAATATTTTCTTCACCAGATGTGAGTAACACTCGTTTACATGTATATTCTCAGTCTTACTCAGTGGTCAGTGCTGAGCCGTCCACCCATCTCCATGAGCCCTCTGTGTCTCTGTCAGTCAGACCAATCCAAAACTATGGGCTTTTCCTTATGTCTAAAATACTGGCAAGGAAATCCTGTGAAAGTAGGAGCAGCATTACAGGTAAATTTACAAAAAAAAGGTCATTCAGATTTGGTGTGATTTGGTGTAAAATGGTTCATTTTAGAGAAACTTACCAACTCAAATTTCTTTACAGTGGTGGTGATAGGAACCAGGGGTCACAAATAGTGATAAATAGTAAAATAGTGGTAAATCTGAAAGTAGTGGTCGGCACAGTTGCATGCACTCAAATCTGACTGTAAAATGAGCATAAGCAAATTTCACAAATGTTTTGTGCAGGAGCAAATCTAAAGTTATCTATCAGTACACAATCATTATGGCCTGCAGCTACATATCCAAAGCAACATTTCAGAGCAGGGAAACACATCATTGCTTTCCGGGCAATAACACAACAGGCTCCCAAGTGGCACAACCGTCTAAGCGTTGGCCCTATCATCAGGAGATCACGAGTTCGATCCCTGGTGATGCTACAGCCATCCGTAGCCGGGAGTCCAAGGGAGCACAATTGGCCTCGCTCTCTCTGGGTGGGTAGGATGGCCCTCCCTTCTCCCCCATCACTCAATGTGATGCTAGTCAGCGCAGATGTCTGTTAGCTGACTGGCGGTTGGCGCTTTTCTCAGAGCGCGTTCAGCTGTCCAATGATGTTGAGTGAGCAGCAGTTCGAAAAGAAGCGGTGGCTGGTTTCGCAGGTCTCGGAGGAAGCCTGTGTTAGCCTTCACCCTCCTGATAGTATTGTGTGATTGGGGGAGTCCTAAGTAGCAAGCGGAATTGGAAACGACAGAATTGGAGAGAAAATCGAAAAATAATTAAAGGTGAAGGCAGCTGATGATAGAGCCAACCATCTAAGCGTTGGCTCTATCATCAGGAGATCGTGAGTTCGATCCCTGGTGATGCTACAGCCATCCATAGCAGATTGAAGGAGCAGTTTTATTCCTTTCCAGACTGAATGATGTTGAAATCCTCTGGCTGGTGTGTCCCAAATGTTTATTCTCTAATTTCTGCTGTAATGGCAGGGTACCAAATTTAACTTTTATTACATCTTCGACATGACTCATTATATTGCCCTGCCTTAATGACTGGCTACCACAGCTGATGAGGAACAATGGCTAGCTGCGTAGCAACGCCATGCTGTGAACGTTTGCTAAACGTCTGGGCGAATGTAAATTTATTATTTTTTATTGAATGCTCTCAGCATGGGGCCAGCGTGATCGTGTCCCACAGCTGGTTATTGAAAGCGCATTGAACGTGCGCAGTGTTTTTTAACTGCTAACTTGGTTAGACAAAATCTGAGGAGCTGGCCCTATGCGCATCAAATGTAGACTACTAGGAGACATAGGTAGCCCACAGGCATTTAAACAACAGATACAGGAAGATATTTGGAATGTATCGGACAGCCCTACCACACAGGCCCCTAATACAGAGACGCCACTGCTTATTACACGTAAATAAACAATACAAACCACAACTAGTGCAGAAGCATCTCATACACTGCAATAATACAGTTTAAATGTTATTTTAGGAACATAATTTGTCCACAAAATCACATCATTCTACTGTCTTTTATTCTTTCCAGTGTCCATAATTTTAACTCTATAAAGTTTGGTGTGTAGGGGGACCCTGCCTACAAGAACAGTCGCCGCCTCACAAGCTGACAGCTGAATGCTATCATTCGTTATTTATTATTAATTTATTATTAGCTCCTACTGAAAAATCTGCATGAATTAGGTCGTGCTACATGTAAATGAGGTGCTGGAAGGCTGGCAGATTCATCATTTGTGCTCAAATCTCCACTTGTTTCCACATCAGACAAAAGTTTCATGAATCACTCTGGCAGTAATCCTGTTTTTCAGTTTACAATGGATTTTACAACTGAATTCAATTTACACATGTACATTTTCTACTACTAAAATTTGTTAGTTAAAATGCAATATTTACTAGTGGAAATGTGCAAACCGAATTTCTGATATCAAGAATTAAATATTTACTAGTTGAAAATTAATTTTCATCTGTGTAAATGTAATTTGTAGAACTAGAAAAATAAGAAGGAAAAGCTAGTGTGTCATAGTGATTAGAATTTCAGCAGGACTATTTAATTTTTATTGTGTGGGTAAAGAAAATATGTGTTAAACTTTAATTCATGTCTACATGAATTGGAGAAGACTTGAATTCTCAAACACGAAACATGAAACAGTTTACTATAATTGGCTCTATGCTGGGGCCTGTTCTCTTTTCACTTTACATTCACTCACTTTGTGATGTAATATTCTTTCATGGCTTCTCCTACCACTGCTATGGTAATAACACTCATCTAATCCTTTCCTTTCCACCTTCTGACACTTCTTCAGTTCACCACTTGAAGCTGAAATCTAGTAAAACTGAGTTGCTATTCCTGTATCCCTGCAATTACAGGCCCTCACCATGATCTTGAAATCTCATTAGAGAACTCCTTGGTCGTTCCATCTGAAGATGCAGTCTTGGTGTGATTCTGAATGGCCAGTTATCGTTCTCAGCTTATGTTGCAAAACTGACTCGGTCATGCAAGTTTCTCCTCTACAACATCCAGAGGATTCAACCCTTTCTCTTTCGGAAGGCATACGAGGTGTTTGTTCAGTCTCTTATCATCTTGAGACTTGACTACTGCAGCTCATTTCTAGCTGGTTTTCCTATGTTCCACATCTTTCTTTTTCTCCATCTCTTACCTGTTCTAGTCTGCTGTTCATGATCACCAGGTCAGCATCTCTCTGCCTGCAGTACCGTCTGCTTTCATCCCAGTTCTTATTCTCACAAGCAATGTAGTAAAGACTGGACCTGAAGTACAACCATCCCAACTCAGTGTGCTCATCTGTTAGAACAGAAAATTAAGAGACACTTCCAACCTTGCTCCATGCATTTGTCTAAGCAATGAATTTACAATACTCATTGATTTGACAGACATATAACCATCATGAAATTATGAGCATGCGCCCACTGCACATTTCATTACATTATTTCATATTGATTCATATTGCATAGCTTTTTTTAACCTACCTTTTAAATAAAGATATTCGCTTGGGCACTTATGAGATTTTATAGCTTATATTAGCAGCAAAATAATGGTCCCATACAGAAATCTGAATGGGACCATTATGGGACCATTACATACCATCTATATGGCAGTATGTGGGTTTCAATTGTATGGCATATATTGTCATAGGTGGAATTCCCTTATATTCAACTCATTTTATGTCACATATTGACATATTTGTTACATATTTGGCCGCTTATTTGAAATGGGCAATTTTTAAATATGGGACATATATTTACTTGCAGAGCAGCCACGTGCACAGCCTAACAAGAGGCGCCAAGTTGTTGTGGGTTTAAAACGTGTTGCTTATATTATTCTATGTCAGGTTAAGAGGTTATGTTTGTGTGGGTTTATTGTCTGCCATGGAGACCGTAAGGCTAGAAGTGACCTGCCTGATATCTTGGCCGTTTCAGCCAGCGCTGAGCAGCGGTTCTCCCCTGCTGCTGCTGTCCAATACAGAGCATTTGCATAAAGTGCTGTTTCCTGCTACTTATTTTCTGCCTATGCCACATTATTCATATGTGAAAAGCATATACTACTCATATATCCTGGCTTCATGTTATATAAAATATAAAATTAATGCATCCTCTTTGTTTCTTCCACATACGTCCTATTGAAGTGAACACTAATATACTAGCTACATAACTAAACTCTAAATACATGCACATTATAAGCTATGTAGTAAAAGGATTAAAATGGAATAAATATACATATATTTTGAAATATATGCCTTTATGATACATGTGCATATATGCCCATATATCAGATTTCCATATGGGGTGGTTTACTTTTTCTTTCATACATATTTAAGCTAAAACTAGGGCATTTGAAGCTTGTAAGACATTCAAATAATATATTCTTTACTGTGTATGTGATAGCGAATGCTTCAGTAGTATGTATTGTAAAACTTTAAATTTCTGAATATTGGTATTGAAGACTGTTACTTTGCAGCCAAGCTGGTCAGACTACACTGTAAAAAGTGAAACAGAGCAAAAGTTGATTAGAATTGATGTCAAATGTTGCTTCACAATGTTTTAAAGTATTTATTTGATCTAAATAAAACCATTTGAATTGCTTGTTGCCACTTTGATTTTTTTTCCCTTTTTCGTTATAGTTGTACTGAAGACCTGGGGCCAGATTTACTAAAACTTTCTTAAGAAAAAACTTGTGAAGGTTCTTAAGACTGACACTAAAAAGTTTATAAGAATGTTCTTAAATGCAATTCTCGAAAAAATGTACAAAGTTCTCATATATTCTCTTGAGATAATCTTAATTATTTTCTTAAGATTTTTGTAAGAAAATCTTCATTGTTTTCTTATGTAGGCTATGTTGCATTTTATCACATACCATAAATGACGCAAGATACATTGTGAATTTGTATTAACTGTTATTTTCATTATTAGGTTAATCAGCTCAGAGAACAGCAAAACAGGGGAAAAACATTAAACCAAGATTTAAAAAAAATGTACCAAACAAAAAGAGGTAATGGTGTATAAAAATACAATAACTGTGGGGTGACAGCAAAAAGCAAGTTGTGACACTAGCAAAAATGTAAACAGTGATTAGGTAAACAGATGAGGAATCAAAGGTCACAGCCATTCATTGTTGGTTTCTGCCTTGCTATTTATGCACAGAGATTCCTCTGAGATCTTTTAATAAGGTTATATAATGTATATATAATGAAATCCCTGAATTCCTTACAATTGTGTTGAGAAACATTCTGTTGGACTATTTGTGTAGGTTTTCTCAAAAGTGGCAACTGAGCCTTTCGTGAATACTCTATTTATATCCAATCATGACAGTGTGACCTGTAACCTATTCACCTGTTTACCTGTGAAAAGTTTCAAAAGTTTCCTATCCCAACTTTTTTGGAATGTGTTGCAGGCATCAAGTTTGGATTTAGCCAAAAATCAAAAAAGTTGCTGAAGGTCAAATATTACATATATTTTTTGTGTTGTTTTCAGAATTGGGATTGTATATTAAGCCCTGCTCTGTTTCTGTTATTGTTAGCCTGGTAAGTTTGTCTAGTAAGACTGGAGTTTACTTGCTGAGCGAGGGCTTATTGATGCTTATAATATATAAAATTATATAATATAAAATAAACCAAGCATGAGCATAATAAAAGGCATTTGATGATGTTTCTATATATCGTATTTACATCTGATGCAGTTCGGGCAGGCCTACACCAGAAAATTAATCCATTCACATAAAAAGTAACAAATTGTGTAAAAGTAACCGCCTGCAGCCAGACATCTCTGTTTCTTCCACTTTGAGTCTCATTTTTTTTCAAATCATAAGAGTCAAATCAAAGTCAAAGACTGAGCCATTGCTGATCAAGTCTAAGTTGAGTCTTCTTTGATGTGATGTAAAGTCATCAAATTCATGACTCAAGTCTCACTCAAGTCAAAGTCAAATGACTCAAGTCCCCACCTATGTAAAGCAATGTAATTATTTCTGCTGTCTACAAAATGTACACATGAAGAAGTAAACTCGTAGTTATCTTTCTGAATTTGCTAAAAATAATATCTCTGTAGTGCTTGTGGTTAGGCTGACTGAGCTGAACCTTTACACTTTACCAGCTGCTCATCTTTATTCTCATGTTTAAGCACCCAAAGAGGCTGTATCAGCATATAAACCTCAAAGCATGCACTTTAGATGTTTAACATCCTGTCCACAGAGCCGTTCCTGGGACAGCTGTGAATTTTTTTCTGTCACTTAAATGAGTTTTCAAGTATTTACTCACGTAAGTAATTCAGCTTCTGCTGAAGTCTGTTTTTCTCCGTCTGCAAAAGGTCCATTTGGTTTCTCATGGTGTCGTAGCTGCTCTGTAATTGTCCCTTTTCATTTGCTATTTGCAGAATTTTAACCTGTAGCTCTTGTTTTTCAGTGATTAGGTTGGTGTAACTGGTCTGTAACTGGTCTCTCTCTTTAATCAGGTTGGTGTAACTGGTCTGTAACCGGTCTCTCTCTTTAATCAGGTTGGTGTAACTGGTCTGTAAACGGTCTCTGTCTATGATTAGGTTGTTATAACTGGTCTGTAACCGGTCTCTCTCTGTGATTAGGTTGTTGTAACTTGTCTGCAACTGATCTCTATCCGTGGTTAGGTTGTTGTATCTAGTCTGTAACTGGTCTCTCTCTCTGATTAGGGCACTGAAATTGGTGTGTAAATTTTCTCTCTCTGTGATTAGGTTGTTGTAACTTGTCTGCAACTGATCTCTATCCGTGGTTAGGTTGTTGTATCTAGTCTGTAACTGGTCTCTCTCTCTGATTAGGGCACTGAAATTGGTGTGTAAATTTTCTCTCTCTGTGATTAGGTTGTTGTAACTTGTCTGTAACTGATCTCTATCTGTGGTTAGCTTGTTGTATCTGGTCTGTAACTGGTCTCTCTCTCTGATTATGGCATTGAAATTGGTCTGTAACTTGTCTCTCTCTGTGATTAGGTTGTTGTAACTTGTCTGTAACTGATCTCTATCTGTGATTAGCTTGTTGTATCTGGTCTGTAACTGGTCTCTCTCTGTGATTAGGACATTGAAATTGGTGTGTAACTTGTCTCTCTCTGTGATTAGGTTGTATCTGGTCTGTAACTGGTCTCTCTCTATGATTAGGTTGGTGAAACTGGTCTGTAACTGGTCTCTGTCTATAATCAGCTTGTTGTAACTGGTGTTTAACTGGTCTCTTTCTGTAATTAGGTTGGTGTAACTGGTTTGTAATTGGTCTCTTTCTGTAATCAAGTTGGTGTATCTGGTCTGTAACTGCTCTCTCTCTATAATTCGGTTGTTGTAACTGGTCTGTAACTGGTCTCTTTCCATAATCAGATTGTTGTAACTGGAGTTTAACTGGTCTTTTTCTGTAACTAGGTTGGTGTAACTGGTCTGTAATTGGTCTCTTTCTCTAATCAGGTTGGTGTAGCTGGTCTGTAACTGGTCTCTCTCTATAGTCTTAAGTGTAATGACAACCAGAAGGACAACACACAGCAGCCCAAGACACACTGTAGCCACTCTGTAGTATCTGCTCCTTTCAGTGTTGTTTCCTGAAGCTAGAAAGAAATTCATTAAATTACAAGACTTTTCAAATGTAGCAGCTGTTCAGACAACATGGATTTCATAACAAAACTTCAGCGCCTGTTTATGTGAGTTGTAGATATTGATATAACACCATATTCATTCAAAAGGAAACAAATGCAGTCTTTGGTGTTTTCTATTGTTCCTGTTTTTTTACTGTTCACAAGAGAGGCCCAGGCCACAAACTAATGGTGTGTATGGCCTAACAGACAAAGACAAAAGAGGAGATGTGTGCAATTTCAAATAATGTGAGGAACAGCACATTACCAAAATTAGAAAAGAGTATTTCCAAAAGAATTGTAAACCAAACATTTTGGTCCCATTGAAGTATCAGCACTGCTATGATGTTTTAGCAGCCAGCCTACACTGAAGCAGCCAGCCAATACAGGACCTCCTGAATACCAGGGAGTATTTAGCACACTGCTAACAACAAGGCATCAAATAGGTCAGTCAAGACAGCAGTTGATGACAGAAACATTGTGAGAGCTGTGACGACAAAACCAAAAACTACAGTCAGAGACCATCAACAACCGCCACTGGCAGGGGTGAAGATATCTCAATACATCATTTAAAGAAGACTTCGAGAGGAGAAATATAAAGGCCGTACCACAAAATTCAAACCACTTATCAGCAGTAAGAATCAGAAAGCCAGATTGGAGGTCACAAATAAATACAGAGATGAGCCACAAAACATCAGGAACAATTTTATGAACTGATAAAACCATTCTTTACATTCTATAATGTATAAGTGACAGAAAGGCCGAAGCGTGGAGTGAGAAAAGAACTGCTCATGATCCAAAACATACAAGTGAATCGGTCTAGCATGGTGGAGGTAGTGTCATGGCTTGGACTGGCAAGGCTGCTTCTGGAACATCCTCACTCATCTTTGTTGATGATGAAACTCATGATGGTAGCAACAGGTTGAATTCGGAGGTCTACAGAAACATCCTGTCTGCCAATTTACAGAGAAATGCATCCAATCGAGAGTAACTACATTATGCAGCAAGACAATGACCCAAAACACTGCCAACACAACAAAGGGCTTCAGAAAAAAATGTAGTGATGTACAAGCAAATGTTAAAATTAATTTATTTTAAGATTTTTTGTTCAAATACATTTGCTCACCTAAAAATTGGGTGATCTGTCACCAATTTTGCCATGTTCTAAGCTGTTTAACATACCTAAATGTAAATATCAGGAAATAAAAGCTGAATTTCTGATCATCCCATATTAATCTTCATTTCAAAATGTATAGCAAAAACAAAAGCACTGGCCTTGTTGTTCCAGTACTTTCAGAGGAAATGGTGTTTAATCTTTGTAGTCAAACATGCAGCTATGATGTGCTGTTTAAGTATTGATCTGTATCCACGATGTGCTCAGAGAGCCATATTGGAAAATATATTGTAAGATAATTTATTATGATAAGGATATTGTCATATTGCCCAGCCCTAAGAATAGATTAGACTGCATTTGTATCATCTGCTGCATACAATACATAATTAAATGCATTTCATAAGGATTAGTAGAAAGTAAGGGTATTTCTGCTTAATTCAAAATGACTGAATTTTTGTGTTCTGTAAAATAATACTTTTCTCTAAATGTTCTAGAAGTATTCATAAGAACAATCTGATGAGTGTGCATGTATGTGCTGTTGTGGGGACCAGATACCATGCAATCAGTGTTGGAGTTAACATATTCCAAACAACCCCCACACTCAGCTGGCATATTAAGTACCCTTTATTCACGGTAACAGTTACTTATTAGCTTGCTCCACATCAAATAAGCAGTGGTAACACTTTACATTAAGGGTCGCTAATCAATCATTAAATATATAATAATCAGCTATTAGTTTCCCATTATTCAGTTATTAGTTAACTCTTCATTAAGCATTAGCTATTACTTAGTAATAGATTAAGCACTTATCAATTAGTAATTAAGTACACTGTTAGTTGATAAGTTAGTTTGTCGTTAGTTTGTGGCTTACTTACTCGTTATATGTGTGCTAATTGCTGCTTATTACATTGTTAATTAACTAATAAGTATTTTTCTTCATATAAAGAAGTAACGTGATAACTTACTAGCACTTATGTGTTAATCCCACTAATTATCTGTTAATTAACTTTCCATCACCTCCGTATATTCAGTTGCTTCACTTTTCTCACTTTGGTTCTTGTTCATTAAAGATGCTTATGGTCACATCTGACCGTAAGATGAGCGCACGCAAATTCACTGACGGTTTTGTTATTCATCACATTCATCTTGGCATATCTGTACTCATATCTGGTAGGAGTGCATGTAAATGTGGGCATAAATGCTGGATATGTGGCTAATTAACCAAAACTATTATCAACATAATCTGTAATTGCAAAAATAAGAATAGAAAATTTCAATAATAGTGATTTGTGTGCATGACAGTCCAGTACAAAAGTGGATGTTCTTACTTTACATGCACATTGATATAAACAAGTGCTGCAACTATTTCATGTTCCATTTAAAGACACATTACACTGTGCTTTTGTTTCATACTACTGACTCACAAACACAGCTTCGGTCATACACTGCAATAATACAGCGTTTATTTTAGGGAATTAATTACACTAAACAATCACTCTACTATGTTAACAACACTGAGTATTTTGTTTTATTTCACATTTTATTTTTTCCAGTTGTTTTCATTTTAATACTATTAAGTTTGGTCAGCGGGGGAGGAGAGCACTCACTGCTGGACATCAAACTCCACCCACCAGCACGGCCATTAGCTTTCATGCCAAACACTGCCGTTTTATTGGCTGGCTACTGAAACATCTGCATGAATTAGGGTGTGCTTCATGTAAATGATATGTAAATGAGGTGCTCGTCGGCTGGTTTCATGCACTGAAGCGGATTTATCATTTATGCTCAAATCTCCACTTTTTCCACATCGTACAAAATTGTTATGAATCAGACGCAGAGCAGTTCAAACCTTATAAAAGGCAAAAAAAAGGTGTAACTTTTTTACGCGACTTTGATGATTAATGGGCCCTTTTCACAAGATTCGTGATTACTTCCGGTTTAAGCATTAGCAGGGTAAAACTCACTTCCTCTCCATACAGCTACTGCAGACGCGATGTCAAAATGTTTAGTAGTGAACTGTAACGCTCAAACACTGAGCTACAACAGCTGTACTGTAGCGATCAGACTCTGAGCTACAACAGCTGTACTGTAGCGATCAGACTCTGAGCTCCAGCAGCCGTATTTTAGTTTTCCTGCTCAGCTGTGACAGTGAGAGTGAGAAGTGGACGGAAGCTCTGATTTAACTGTTAACAGAGCTGAGATGCTGTGTGTTGTTTTTACTGCAGTTCTGCTTCACATCAGGCCGTCTCTGTGTTTTTGTACAACACGCCAGCGATTCGGTAATCTTCTGTTTTCAAGAGAAAGAAGAGCTTTTATATGTAGCATGAATGTTATAGACTCTGTTTATATTAAGCTAGCTATACTGGCTAGAAGCTACTGCTAACCAGACTAGCCCGGCTAACATGAAGCAGCTTTTTCAGATGTTTTTTTTCAGCTAGGAGTCTCGTTTTTGACTGAGCAGTGAAAGGTGGATGTTTTCTGAAGTGCTGCTTCAAAAATTGCCATGAAACTATAAGAATAATGCGGTTTGGTAGATCGCTAACATAGCTAGCGTTAGAGCTAACTTAGCTTTAAAGTGTGCTGCTCATGAAGCTGGTGCTCAAACTGCTAACGGTAGGCTAGCTAATTAGCGACTGTAGCCTGCTAGCCTACCGTAAGCTAATACAGTTTAAACGAGGTCTGTAAAATAGACTTTACATATAAAAGTTTTTGTTTGTGTTTATGTCAGAAGTCGCTGCCATCCTGTAGCTAAATGTGTCACAGAACCTGCTCCACGTTAGCCGACTGGTGGCAGCAGCTGATGAAAGCTAACTAGCTTCCTTATTTTGGGAACACAGCTACAGGTAGAAATGGCTTCTAGCGTTGCTAGCTAGCTACAGCTAAACAACGTCTACCAAATTCATACTACACAGAAGAACTTTAATTTCTTTTAAAAACAAAAATATTACAGAAATCGCTGGCATGCTGTACAACTACAGAGACACTGTTTGATGTGAGCAGCTGCAGCAGCAGTAAGCAGGGCTACACCACACAGCATTTTAGCTGTGTTTACAGTTAAATCAGTGCTTCCATTCACTTCCTATTGTCATGATAGTGCACGAAAACTAACATATGTCTGTTGTAGCTCAGTATTTGAGCATTATAGTTCACTGCTAATGCTTAATCCGGACGTAATCGCGACTCTGTGAAAAGGGCCCATAGCCATTAGATCTTTACATTTCACTTAATCAACCATTCATTGCTTCTTAAATTCCTCTTACTTAACCATTAATTACTGCTTTTGTGTCCCTCCAAGTAAAGTGACAACACAAAAGCAGTAATTAATGATTAAGTAAGAGGAATTTAAGAAGCAATGAATGGTTGATTAAGTGAAATGTAAAGATCTAATGGCTATGGGCCCTTTTCACAGAGTCGCGATTACGTCCGGATTAAGCATTAGCAGTGAACTATAATGCTCAAATACTGAGCTACAACAGACATATGTTAGTTTTCGTGCACTATCATGACAAAATGGCCATTAGATCTTTATATTTTGACCATTAATTACTTCTTAAATTCCTCTTACTTAACCATTAATTACTGATTTTGTGTTGTCACTTTACTTGGAGGGACACAAAAGCAGTAATTAATGGTTA